TGCTCCTAGGACGTGGGCTTCGCCCCTGGGCCCCGGGCTCCCCAGGCACAGAGCAGAGGGGAAAGGCCGGGCTGGATGACGAGGGTCCGCGCTCGCTGGCACCTCGGGGCCGAGCTCCCGACCTCCCACACAGAGACCACCCCACCCCGCTGCCTGCCGCTCGCAGCCGGGCCAGCACCATGGAGGGGTGGTCGGGGGGAGGGACGACAGAGGGCGCCTCCCCCCGGGATGCAGAAGGTGGACCGGCCCCCAGCAGTGCGCACTCAGAAGACCACCCGCCGGCCTGGGAAGAAGCGTGTGCTGATTCTAAGGGGCCCAGGAGGTGGGAAAGGGCGGCGCCCACCCCGAAAGGCCTCCCCGGGTCCCTGCTCTGCCGGCCCTCCTGACCAGGAGATCCCAGTGCCTCGGCGCCTACGCCCCACCCCGAGCAGGGCCAGCCAGGCCTCTGTGCCCGCCACCTCTGCTCTAGGGCCGGGGCAGAGCTCACGTCCCGGTCACTCTGCACAGCACCAGCAGCTGTCAGTTAGGCCACAGAGAAGAAGACCTCATCACACCTGCAGGCTCAAGGCCCCATGAGCTCCAGAGCCCGTGCACAGCCCACCCTGCTTCTCCCCCGGTCCGTCCTCCCAGCCTTCCTCACTCCCCCCGCAAGGCAGGCACCACCCGTTCAGCACGCACCCCGCCAGCAGCGACGGAGCCTTGGGAGTGCCGCTGCCGCCGTGCTGAGGTGCAGGTCTACGCGGAGGCCCACTGTCCCGGGGCAACGGGGACAGCCTGCCAGTGCTCGTGGGGGTCAGGAGGAGCCCACGCTCATCTCCTGTTGGTGCCCAGCCTGCCTGAGCCCCCAGCCCTGGGAGTGTCCGCGGGCTCCGGGGGCATGGGGACCAGGCTCTCGGCCGTGCCCTCTCTGCAGGAGGGGGGCCTGCCGGGTCCAGACCTCCAGGAGCAGAGCTGAGCCCAGCACCGTGGCACAGGCATCGGCCTGTCCTGTGCCCGGGCCCCTCCAGGAGCAGAGCTGAGCCCGGCACCGTGGCACAGGCATCGGCCTGTCCTGTGCCCGGGCCCCTCCAGGAGCAGAGCTGAGCCCGGCACCGTGGCACAGGCATTGGCCTGTCCTGTGCCCGGGCCCCTCCAGGAGCAGAGCTGAGCCCGGCACCGTGGCACAGGCATCGGCCTGTCCTGTGCCCGGGCCCCTCCAGGAGCAGAGCTGAGCCCGGCACCGTGGCACAGGCATCGGTCTGTCCTGTGCCCGGGCCCCGCCCAGCTGCTCCCAGACTCCTGAGAGTCCATGGTGACATGAGCTCTCGGGGGGCAAAGGGCCGGGCCCCAGAGCCCCAGTTCAAGAAAAGTTCAAGCACCCTGGAGAGTTTTGCTCAGTGTAATTTAGAGCATCAGCCGAGCACCAAGTGGTTGGGGTTCGATTCCCAGTCAAGGGCATGCATGGGTTGCAGGTCTGATCCCCATCCCCATTGGGGTGCAGGAGGCAACCAGTCCATGTGTCTCTCTCACATCCATGTTTCTCTCCCTCCCTCCCTTTGCTCTCTCTAAAAATCAATAGAAAAAATATCCTCAGGTGAGAATTAACAACAAAAAGTTTAAGCAGCTAACACCTCACACGTCCACACAAACCCACGCAGCAGCCCACGCGGCCACGCAAAGCCACACTCACACAGCCACCCACCGAAAGATGAGCCCACCGACCCAGCTCTGTCTTCAGAATGCCCTGACGAGAGACGAGAGGGAGCTGGTCTTCACCTGGCATTTCGTGACATTTGTGCTTCAGACGAGCGCGGGACGGAATACAAACCGGAACAGAGCGTTCGCCCAGCAGGCCTCGCAGGGCGGTGGCTCGGGCAGGACGTGCCTGCAGCGTGGGCGAGAGGCGAGCAGTGGGTTTGTCCAGAAGGAGCTGCAGGTCCAGGTGCAGCTGGCAGCAGCCACCCGGTCAGTGCGTGTCCCTTCATCCCCACCCGCACCAGGCGTAGGACAGAAGGCCGTGGCCCATGCTCGAGGGACGGGCCGCGTGGCCAAAAGAAAGCAAAGATGCTTCCTGTCCTCCCAGAGGGCCTGGCTGACGGGTTCCGGGGGGACTCCTCGACTCCCGAGAAGCTGCGGCCTGAGGGTCATCTGTACCACGCTCCCCCGAGGACGACTGCGGGAGGGAAGACCCCCGCTGGGAGCTGGAGCTGCCTTCCCCAACCTCCGCACAAATCCCGAAGCTGCATCTTCAGCGGCCCGCGGCCCAGACCGAGGCCCTCCCAGAGGCTGGGGCTTCCCTGTCTTTGCAGGTCACAGACGCACAAGCTCCCCAGAACACTGAAAGCGATCGCTGGGGCATTTGGGGGTCTGCTGGTCTGCGTCACCTGTGATACTTACAGACCACTGAACTCCCGAGGCCTACACACAAGGTCCGCGGCGTCCCTGGGGTTCTGTTCCCTAGAAATTAACTAACTACTTTCTCTCCTTTGAAAATGGAACACTGCACGTGGCCACCTCCTGCATGTCTGAGGGGTGTGCCCTCTCCAAAGTCAGAAACAGCGATGCCAGCTCCCCCAGGCAGAGGACATCCTGACCTCACAGAGCACCCCTGCGTCCCCCTGGTGCCGGGCGGAGTTCAGGAGGCTGCAGGGCAGGGCCACCCCCTACCCCGCTGCCCTCACCGCCAGGCAACCCAGCTCCGAGGCAGCGAAGGCTGATGCCAGGAGGCCCAGGGGGCAGGGCCGCTGTGGCACCGTGTGCTGGGGTGTCAGATCAAGCAGCTTAGCCTTCTGGGTAATCAAATGGGCGTGGCAGTTTCCTGGGGTAGCTCATTTTCACCCGTTTTACGATGCTGCACTTAGAAATCAGCCCCAGACCCAGCACTGCCGACCCCGGGCTTGCCGACAGCCTCACAGACGCCCTCAGCCCTGCTCGGGACTCGCCAGTGACAGGAGCCAGGCTGCCTTCTGGGTCCCGGACGCGCTGGAGCCCACCTCACACTCTGGTTCGTCATGTGCGCCTGGGGCAGGCCAGGGGGGCCTTGCCTGGAGAGTCCCTCACCCTCTCTGGGCCCGAAATAACGCCACCGAGGGCTGGGCGAGGCCGAGTGAGCCAGGCCCACCAGCTGGGGACACACTGCACATGGGGAGCTCCTGCCACCCCAGGGGCCCCGTGAAACCTGCTCAGAACAGGCCGGAAGAGGGCAGAATGCAGGGGCTGGCGCTCAGGCTCGGACCTCAGTGGCCAGAGGGGGGACTGGACCCCACGGTGGGGTGCCTGCAGGACCAATGACAAGGTCATCTCCAGGAGGGGGTGACGAGCCCTGGCTGACGGGAGGGTGCTCAAGGAAAGGACAAAGCTCCCGGGTACCCGTGCTCTGGACAGGAAGGGACGTCCACTCCAAAATGTGCCCCCCTCCACGCAGAGTGCCCCCCAGGCCCCACGGACGTCCGTGGGATTGGACGCAACAAGACCGCTGGCCTGCGCGAGTCTCAGAAACGAAGGTGCAGGAAAGAGGCAGCACCCCACCTTCCCTGCCTGCCCCGCCCGCCCAGCAAGCTGGGCCCCACTTAACACGGGGCCTGCCGTTCTCCAGGAGGACTTCCTCCTCTGAAGATGCCTGTTCCCATGGAAATGACAGAGAAGCACATTACTCCCCACGGGGCGAATCACAATTCTGCAAAGGCGGGGCTTTTCCAGCCCCTCCCCGACGCTTCACTGCGGGCCACCTGGGCCCTGGCCTCAGTCATCCGCTGTCTTCCAGGAGGAAGACCGTTTTCCTAAACTGTCACAACTGCAAACGGACTCCCCAGCGCTCCCCGGGCGCCCGAGGCTCTTTATTTCACTTGTTTTCCTGTTTCCTGTCCCACTCAGTCCAGCCCTCCAGCCTGTGGCGGTGCTCAGGCTCACTCCCCACGTGCCCCCCACACGCAGAGCAGGTTCCTCCTGAGTTTCGGGGACCTGACCCTGGCACCGCCCGGGGCTCGCACTGTGGTGCCACAGGGCTGAGCTGCCGCCTGCCTCTGCCAACCTCCAGCAGGAGCGCAGGGCTGAGAGGCCAGCACATCGCCGGAACCCGCAGCCCGAGCCTCACCCAAGTTCCAGCAGGGCAGTGTCTCAGCCCAACAGCACACACGCCGTGTTTCTCCAGACGTGTGAGCAAAGCCGCTGTCCCCATGGCCCTTGGCGGGGACGCGTAGGGAACAAGGCACCACATACCTGACATGCAGCCAGAGCCGCCACTGTGACCCAGGGCCCAGCCGCCACACCCCCACTGTGACCCAGGGCCCAGCTGCCACACCCCCACTCTGACCCAGGGCCCAGCCGCCACACCCCCCTCAGTGACCCAAGGCCCAGCCACCACACCTCCACTCTGACCCAGGGCGCAGCTGCTGGCCTGCCCCCCACCTGAAGGGCAGGGCTGGAGGAGGCAGCACAGTGGAGAGGGACGGCTGGCAGGGCAGAGCCCGGTCCCAGGTCCCTCTGCCAGCACCGTCCTCACTGCACCGCCGGCAGCCCCGCCCTCCTAGGGCCCTGCGCAGCAAGCGGCCCACCCAGCACCTCGAGTCCCGGGGCCAAGCCCCCCAGGGCATCGGCCACCACACACAGGCACTGGGGTGAGGACAGAGCTGGCACGCACCGCGCGAGTGTGGCGCCCCACTGTGCCGCTGAGGAAGCGCTCAGAGAGGCCGGGCCACGTGCCTGAGTCACACAGCCGCCAGGCGGCCAGGCTCCAGACCCCGCAGGCCCCTGAGCACCGCAGCCCAGCGGCCATCACTGCTGAGGACGGACACGGGCCGGCAAGGAGCCTCCGGGCGCCTGTGAAACGGCCCGCTCACGATGCCGTCCCCAGACCCGGCCGACCCGGCTGCCTTGTGTGACGGGCTCTCAGGCAGCAGGGCAGCGGCGCGGGCACCGGCCGTGCATCCCGAGGCCCTTGCACAAACCACCCCGCCAGTGGGGTGTGACGGACCCGCCCGCACACAAGAGCAAGCTCGGAGTCTTGAAAGGCGTCCACTTACTTGGAAATCTCTCTCTTCGAGTATTTCTCTCCTCCATCGCACGAGAAAAGCAGCGCAGACGTACAGGTGGAAATGGGAGAAGCCCTCGGGCTCAGACTGCAGGAGAGAACGGAGACGCGTCAGAGTGTGGGCGGGGTCGGCACGGCGAGGACTCGGGGTGCCGGGCTCCGAGGGCTCCGGAGCTGGTGGCACCCACGCGTCCCCCGAAGGCCAGCATCCCCACGTCCTCGTCTCAGCAGATGGAGACGGTTCAGCCCTGGCTGGTTTGGCTCAGTGGTTAGAGCGTCAGACTGCAGACAGAAGAGTCTCGGGTTCGATCCCGGCCCCGGTCTGGGTCGTGGGGGAGGCAACCAGTCAATGTGTCTCTCTCACATCGACGTTTCTCTCTCTCTCTCTCTCCCTCCCTCCTACTCTATCTGAAAATAAATGGAAAAATATCTCCAGGTGAGGATTACAAATAACAATGAAAAATACAGAAAATTCTCTACTTAAGTGCCAGCCGCCTGGCAAACAGAACATGAGCAGAGACCAGGAACCAGGGTTTAGGCAAGTTCAAAACCAGGGTCCATCTCTCCTCCTGCACACAGGACAGCCGGGTACAGAAGGCAGAGCCGGGAGCGGGGAGCCCGTGTCACAGGCGGGCACAGCAGCCCTCAGAAGCCAGTCCCGCCAGCTGAGGGGGGTGCAGAGCAGCTGTGGCCGGGCCTGGCCCAGAGGTGGACCTGCAGGCAGGCGGGGCAGTCCCGCAGGGGTCGCCCTTTGTCTGGGTGCTGATGCCTCCCTTCCCTGTGAGTGGCCGTCCACCGTGGGACCCGCTGGGGAGGAGCAGGCTCAGAGGTGTCGACAGAGGCGGATTTCCTGAAAGGCAGGCCCAAAACCAAGGAGGTGCCAGGCAGGGAACTCGCGTGGCCCTTGGGGTCCTCATCCTCACTCTTTAGCCAGAGCTCCGGGGGCTCAGCTCGCCCCAGACTGGCACCCCTCACTCAGAGCCCCCTCCGCAGCAGCGCCTCAGTTCAAGCGCAGGCCATCACCCTCCTCTGGCTGCAAGGGTGCCGCCCGCACACGTCCGCATGTCTGCGGACCCGTGGGACGACTGTTCCCAAGGGGGTAAAGGAAGCACGGGCGCAGGGGTGGGGGAGGAGTGGGAAACGCCGGGGCACCCAGGCGCTGCCTTGCCATGGAAACAGGGTGGCCGTCACCTTAAACAGAGACCCAGGAGGGACCCTGCCCGCCTCCCACCTGACCTGGCCCCACCCACTGCTCCCCGTGCCAGGCCCCTCGGGCCCCCCTCTGCCGACCACCCAGCAGGCTCTCTGGGACAGATGGACCCCATGCATTCTTCAAGGTCCCTGCGACCTGGCTGGGTGTCTGCAGCCTCTGCCACACTGTCACCCTCTAGGCTCACAAGTCCCTGCGCCCACGGTCCCAGCAGGGTCAGAAGTGGAAGGAAAGGAGCACCTCGCAGTGCGGTCCCCTGTGCGGGGCACGCGCCGACCCCCAGGCTGGGCAGTGCTCCTGGGAGCGCCTGTGCCTGCCGGAGACCGAAGGCGACTGGCCGCTCCCAAGACCCAGGACGCGAAGGCCTCGGGGAGCCACGCTGAGGAGCAGGGCCAGTCAGCCGGCACACGCTGGCTCCGCTCCCAGGGTGAGCCTCCGGGCACCACAGCCTGCGGACAGCGCTTCCTTCCCAGAGGACAGCGCTCCGAGGGCCAGCCCTGCGCCCCCTCACTGCGCCCGGGAGGCGGTGCTTGAGCCCTGCACCCCGCCGCCCACCTCAGACCCAGGAGCACAGAACCAGGGAAAATGGAGTTTTACAACTTTGCCGAAGAGGACTGTTTGTCTCTGGTGACTTGGTAAATTACATAAAATAGCAATTTAATGAGTAAAAATTCACAGCATTGTGGAAAACGGCCTTCTGCTGTAGGTAGCTTAACTTGGACAGTAACTGTCCCTGCACGGAGGACACCTGGGGTCGGCACGGCCACCATCAAGGGCAGCCAGGGCCTGCACCCCTCAGGACACAAGGTCATCTGCAGGGCCTTCCCTATGGAGGTGGTCAGCCGCGTGGGGCAGGATTCCCGAGGCCAGGGGGTGTCTGTCGGCCGCGTGGGGCAGGATTCCCGAGGCCGGGGGGTGTCTGTGGGCCGCGTGGAGCAGGTATTCCCGAGGCCGGGGGGTGTCTGTGGGCCGCGTGGAGCAGGTATTCCCGAGGCCGGGGGGTGTCTGTCGGCCACGTGGAGCAGGTATTCCCGAGGCCGGGGGGTGTCTGTGGGCCGCGTGGAGCAGGTATTCCCGAGGCCGGGGGGTGTCTGTGGGCCGCGTGGGGCAGGTATTCCCGAGGCCGGGGGGTGTCTGTCGGCCGCGTGGAGCAGGTATTCCCGAGGCCAGGGGGTGTCTGTCGGCCGCGTGGAGCAGGATTCCCGAGGCCAGGGGGTGTCTGTCGGCCGCGTGGAGCAGGATTCCCGAGGCCAGGGGGTGTCTGTCGGCCGCGTGGAGCAGCCATTCCCGAGGCCAGGGGTGCTGCTGTGCAAGCCAAGCTTCCTCTGGGAAGAGGCTCGGGCTTCTCACCCCCGTGGTCAAGGAATGCTCCCCAGATGGCCCCCGAGCCATCGGTCTGTCCTCACCGCAGTCCCAGCCTGAGCTCAGGACACAGCTGAAGGCACAAACCACCACCCAAGGCCGCAGAGCTCCCCGGGGTCCATTTTCACCCCAATGGGGCAAGGCTGCCAGTAAAGGTGATGAGCAACAGGTGGGAACCCCCGGGACTTCCCGGGGCCTCCACAATGCGCCTCTGGGAGAGTCCAGGCCTGCAGCAGGTCTGAAGTGTGCCGGCCGCCGGGGACAGGCTCCCACAGCGCAGCCCAGGGAGGCCAGGGCTGTGTGCCCGTCTGCGCAAGGTCAGGGCTCTGAGGACGGGCTCCTGTAGGTCAAGGAGAAGCCTCGATCCTCCAACTACTGCCATGTCGCCAAGTCCTAAGGCTCTGTGGTGAGGGACAGACAATTCACACAGGAGCCCAGATGCACTTGGAAATGACCACGAAAAGCCCCGGACGCTGCAGCCCTCAGTCCTGGCCGCGGCCGCCTGCAGCCACTGTCCAATGAGCCGGCAGCCCGCAGGTGCCGCGGGAGAAGGCTGCGCCCTGGGGTCCAGGCAGAGCTGATGAAGGGACATCCGAGGCCTAACGCAGAGGCGGGCAGGCAGCGTGTGCGGCCCACCCGTGTGCAGCCCACCCGTGCGGGACTCCCACGAACACCTCCCACCAGAAACGCCTGTGGACAAGACGAGAGGGTTTCCCTGACAGGCACAAGAGGAAACCAAATTAAACACAGGTACCAGGTGAAAGGAGAGAGACTCCATTCTGAAAAGATGTCAACGGCTGCACCGTATTTCCCGTGAGAACTCGGACCAGGTTCTTCTGCGGAACAAGACGCTTGTTCTAGAGCTGGTACCGGAGCGAAGGGCCGCTCGGCTGGGCAACAGCGAGACTAAGAAAGACCAGGCCGCCCGGCCCAGGACAGCCCGACCGCGAGTGCACGGAGCAGACACGCCCGCGTGGGTGTTTTCTCGGCGGCCGGCGGGCGGGGCGGACGGACTGTCCAGGAAAAGGCACTGAGGCCCCGGGCTACCTTGGGGACAAAGTGAAGTCAGATCCAGGATGCCGGGTGCATGAGAAAGTGAGCACACAAAAAGAGAAGCCGTAAAAGCCTAGACTCTAAAAATCAACACATCCGACTACACAAAAATGTAACGTTCACGCCTGACGGAAGACACAATTCAGGTGCACGTGTATCGCGGGCCAGCTCACGGAATCTGCCAGGCGTGTACGGCGGGCGTCGGACCCCTGTCCCGAATACACACAACCCCAAGGCAACGAGAAAGACAGGCCCGGGGACGGACGGGAACACCTGGGCGGAAAAGCCGCTCCTGCAGGCTGGTGACCGGGGACATGGAGAGAAGCGAGCAAAGGTGAGATTCGGTTCACAGTCCTCAGACGGGCAAAACCAGGACTCAGGGGAGCGGAGCGCAGGAGGGGACGTGGGCCGATAGGAGCCCAGCCCGCGGAACGGCGAGATGCTCAGGCCCTACAGCCCGGAAGCTTCTTCCTCGATCAGAGAATCTGACACGGGCTGGAAGGGACACGCACGAGCACGTCAGATGGAGCGCGGTTCGTAAATTCATAAAACTCAGAAACAACCAAGCGTCTTCCAAGGGGGACGGATGAACTCCAGGCAGCCACACAATGTGCAGCCATGAGGTTGGCGACAGCCATCACCGTGAACGACACTGAGGACGCGAAAGCACGTTGCACACGGCTGTTTGGGGGGGGCGCTTACGGGACGTGCCAGAGCGTGCGCCGTGTGGTGGCCGTTCAACAGTCTGTCCAAGTGATGAACCCTCCTCTGGAGAGGAGGGAAGGGAACTTCGACGGGCTAAGTAAAATTTAATTTCCGAGTGAGAAATGAACAAAAGAGCTGAAGCCAAAGGAAAAAGAAACGTTCGACCTGACGACGCTGGGAAACAGGCCGACCTGCGCTCGCTGCCGACACGTCCCTGCGAGGATGTCCGTGACTGAGACAGAAGGACTGGGCACTAACGGGAATGGCCCTTTCCCGAGGCGGCAGGAGACGCGTCCATCCGGGGACCACCGTCGTCTGCGGCCCTGGCACCCTGGTGGGCATTCCAACTCTGTGGCTGGAGGTGTGCCCCATCCGTGGGTTCTGACCTCACGACCTTGGACAACCCCTGCTCAACGCCCTCTCCAGGGTCCAGGCACAGGCTGAGGTGCTCCCAGGCTCCAGCCTCACCTGCCTTCCCCTGGCCTCGCTCGGAGGCCGTGCACACGCTGGCCCTCGGCCCTGCTTTCTGAGACACTGGGGGACGGGCAGCAAGCAGAGGCACTGCGCCCCCCTCCCCGCCCCCCTCCAGGGACAGGAGGAAAAGCCAGGTGCCCCTGACATGATGAGTTTTCTTAAAACTGCGTTTCAAGGTCCACCATGGACCTAGTTTTGCTTATAACATGAAAGAAATTAAAGTTCAAAATGATCAGATTAAATGTGAATTACTTACGTACGACATGCAGTTTTCAAAATGTAGG